TTCGAGTAGAGAGCTTTCAATAAGAAGATGTAATTAATCGGTACGCCTTTCAGTGAGAGACATTGCCACAAGACTTCTTGATCAACGGGTCGAATGCCGCCGCCTTCAGGTCGAGAAATACAGCTGTTGTCACGCGTCTGTGTTCCAGAACCTGGCGCACTGTCAATATTTGGTCGATACACCGGCGGCCTGGTCTAAAGCCTGCTTGGTTTTCTCGGGCTTGCTGTTCCCGAGCTCCACTCAGGCGTCGGAGAATTATAGAACCTAGTACCTTGGACACTATGTTCGTCAGGCTGATTCCTCTGTGGTTATCACAAGAGGACTTCTCGCCTTTCTTGAAGACTGGGATAATCAGTGATTTAGACCAGTCGGAGGGGATCGTATTTGATTCCCATATGCTAGCTAACACTTCCGTTAACCTGACTAAGAGCACTCTACCACCATTCTTGTATACCTCAACAGGTAGTCCGTCTGGTCGTGCTGCCCTTCCTCGTTTCAGGTTACCTACTGCTTTCTCAACTTCTAATGTTGGGGGACCTATCTCTATGTCCCATTGTGGATCCGACTGGATAGCGGGCAACGCAATGGTGGCTGGAAATGTGTGATCAGATTGTTTAAAATGTTATAGTGTGCATGCTCATTTTATTGTGCAATACCTCTATCCATATATATATTGAAGTCAAGAATAACAGGAATTCATTTCAGTTGGTCCGTTTTTTTGATATCGCCCATAACGTTAATGGTTACACACCGAAATACAAAAGAAAAGAAAAATGAGCAGCAACAGGAAGTTACAAAGTCAATGAAGTATTATGCTCTAGATCGTAGTCGAACTGTAGGTAAAATTGTGATGTTCAGGATTCAGGAGGATTTCCGCGGATTGACTTATTTTTTATGATCACTGATCTTTAACATGTTGAAGACTCAGACAGAAAGTTTATACCTCCACCACGAGCTCAACTAACTGTTATGAACTTGACTAATTGACGTCATATCTTAGATCAATCATCTTTACGGTAGTCCTCATCAAAAAGCGACATCAGTTAAACAACTGAAAACCTGCGAGCACTAAACAGCTGTTTCGTCCTAGTAAGGAACTTCGCAACAGTACGCACCCACGAACCCACCCTTAACTTATTATCAGCCAAATCATTGTTAAGTGTAACGATGCTATGAGATGCTCAAAGTATGTCTTGACCACTTCTGTTGTACTTAATCATTTCTTGATTATTGTATTTTCAGTTGCCTATTTTCATATACTGTGACCAGACCATACTATCAGTTAATATAAAGGGAACATAGTGTACATAGTTTTAGGTCATTAAGTATTTAACACCAGCTGATGTCACATTACAAAGTTTTCAAGCATTTTGATTTAATTAAGGGTGATTATGGCAGTTAGCCATTTCCTTCATACAAAGGATGCTTCATGTACACACTGATTTGTCACACTTATCTTTAGTTAAGTTGAACAAAAAGCCATAATGTAAACTAACACTGACGAAACCATTACTTTTCGAGCTTAAAAGTAGTGCGAATTCACAGGAAGAACAAAAAGCATTTTGGTAAAAGGGATATTCAAAATAAAGAAAATTTTGTAATCAATGTGTGTTTTCTGGATGTACAGTGATAATATCGGATCTTATAAGAAACAGTTAAAGCATTTAGAAAAATCTTATGGTGTTGTCGCATTACCACAGTCCTTTTAGAAAGTGTGTTTACAAAAGTTATCAACATTAATTTTGTACATGAACTTTACAAACTCTTAATAGATTTTCCAAGATGCGATTGTTAAACAAGGCAGCCAAATATCATGGCTGGATTGATGCAGATGCATATATGCTCTATCCTAAAAATTGTAATGCCGAATGTCTTCATTTCTTTCGTCCACTTTCCATCAGTTTTCCAGCATTCTTTGAGTCTGATAGCTACATTTTCATTCGAATGTCTTTTTTCTTGTCAACTCTAACCTTGATTTACTGACTTGTATTTTGGTCTTTTGAACGTAGTGATCAAGGCGTCTATGTTATTTACAGCTGTCTGTACTTCACTGAAGTACAGAAAAATGTACACAATGGTGTCAGTGATTTGAAGCTGCTAAAAACACAGTTCGTGTGCTATTTGAAGAGAAAGTAGCACTAAAAAGCAATATTGTTGCCCAACAATTTTACCATATCCACTGAAAAGTAACTAATATTTGAATAAATCTTAGCAACTCCTTGATAAAGAACGTCGTTTCAGAAAATTTATCTATATGACATATATGTTAGTTAACACAGTAAAACTTGAAAATTACAATTGTTTGCACCAGAGTTTGTTATCAATTATCAATGTCATATATTTATTTAATATCTGTTATTGCGTTTTGTTTTTCTGTTAAATGAAGGCACTGGAAACTCTTGAGAAAACTAATGGTCTTTTGAATCAAACTGAAATAAGATATAATGCTGTTAAACGAAGAGCTGAGGAAACTCGAGCTAATTTAGCCTCAGATGTTAGAAAAGCTGAACATAACCTATCTGATGTTCAGTAAGCTGCGACTAACGGTTTGTATAACAAGTTTATTAGCAACTTGGTTTCTGTCAATGATGAATACAACGACAGCAACAGCTGGATTAATGAAAAAGTGACTAAGATACTTTTGGTATATGGTGATAAAGTAGTTACCACTAATCTTCGTCGAGGTAACAGCTAGGATAGATATCTGGCTCATTGTCTATAATACATTCATGTTTTCTTTTTATGTATCGAATAAATTTTCCCAAAGGATACAATATGCAACTGTTTCGTGACTTCAAACTCCACAGCTATTCTTTCTAAAATCGATATATTTTGGTTGACAACAACTAAAAATAACATGTGTTATTTTGAAAATAATAAGGATGAAACTAAATGGAATGACTTCAAGAGCCACCCTAGCATCTGGTGAAATTACCAGTTAGGTCTCCTTGTTTTTCAGGATGTCCGTTTTGCAAATTAACCAAATTTATTGGCAATTTTTGGGAATCGATTGAATTCAAAAGGGCTTTTATTAAGGATTGCTATCGATTGAAGAAGTACTGAAAACCTGGTAGTACTGAGCAGTTGTTTCGGCCCTTTTGGGGTACCTTAATAGTGCTCACCACTATTATATGAAAAATAAGGTTTGCGAGTGTCGTGTTTCGTGGCGAGCACACTACCATTCATCCGTTGAGTTGGAGTCCTGTCATCCACATCTTACTACTTCTGTAAATTCGCTGTATATTGAGACTAACACCAAATGTCATAGGCGAGCATTTGTCCTCACACTACACTTGGTTGAGTTTACAAATTGTGGCTTCTCATTGGGACTTCAGAGAATTTGTCTCGAAGCCTACATCCATGATAACTTTGTGAACTGTAAAATAAATCAAATCATTATAATTTACTATGGCATGAACGCTTGGACATAATGGAGTGACTTTAAACGCCATCTTAGCAACGGCTGAAGTAGCCAATTAGGTTTGTATATTTCTGTTGAAAAGACAAATTTTCATAAAATCAAGGAAAAGTAATCGTCAGGTCACTTTAAAGGCAACCCTAGCAACTGTTGGGACAGCCAATCAGATTTCGGTATTTCGCGTAAAAAGTTAGTATTTCATAAAATAAAAAGCTGTAATTGGTTGTCTTAACAGTTGCTAGGGTGGCCTTTAAAGTCATTTAAAATCGTCTACTTCACGTGTTGTTAGGACGGTCTTCAGATCGTGACAATTTTAAAACTGTGCGACAGTACATAGTACGATTCGACAACACAACTGAATAATTAAAACAATGTAGAACGGAGAAATTTAATGCAATATACTCTGTGTTAAAACGAGGTAGCAACTGATGGAACGACTGATCAAGTTTCTATATTCTATGAAAAATTGTCTTCCCAGACAAAATACTGCAACCTGATTGGCTATTTTGGCAGTTGTTATAGTTGCCTTTAAAGTGGCCCGACCTGAAGACCATCCTAACAACGGGTGAGGCTAAAAGTTACCCCCAGGTATTATCGTGCTTTTTATGGAACACACCGTTCTGTTCACAAATTCGCCTACTTTCTGTATCCTGTATGCATATTTTACTTATTTGTATAGTTGTTAAAATGTCATATGTCACTGAATTATGTTTCATGCCGTTTATTCATGTGTAAAGTAATGGTTCTACTTCCTCCTCCTAGTTGGGATGTGAGTACATTTATTTTATAAACAATAATGTTCACAAATCAAAGTAAGTTAATTGAGCCTTCAATCTGTATCGAAAAGGATTCATGATTGTAGTTTTCGATTCAGAATATGCACTTAGAAAACAAAGAAAATACGTATTTTCACACAGATCACAATACCACTTAGGACTAACTTTTAGCCTCACCCTATCAGTCTACAGGTTGATAGCCAAGTTGAGGAAAAGAACCATAGTAGATGGCAATAAGCTTCCAAGCGTATGCTTATTCTGGAAATTACAGGACCCGCTTGTCAACTTAGCAACATTAAATAATCTCTGACGAGTGGTTAAACTGACAATGTAAAATTTTTCTCGTTATTAATATTCTTTTCATAAACTGGGGATATTAACACTATTCGAAATGTTGTGATGGAGTATATATATATATATATATATATATATATATATATATATATATATATATATATATATATATATATATATATATATAATTTGCTGCAATATTATCATAATGAAAATCCCTAACTATACCAAAACATCGAATATTTGGATACTGTCGGTTGTAGTGTGGTGAGTTTCTGTACCAATCGATCCAGAGCTTGAAGCAATCATAAATAAACTTGTCGCTGGTCACGAACGTAATAATAAGATTAGGGTTTCGGTTGCACTAATCACATTAGGAATGTAGTTTTCTAAATTTCAGAGTTTACCAGTTTTGGGGCAAAATGTATCGGTAAATCTAAGGAGTTAAGGTAGTATCTGCAATTTCCTCGATCGAAGTACATTTGTTTGTATGAACTTGGGAACAAATAGTATCAGAAAAAATCCAACAAAATCTGAAGGTCTGTGTGGATAAAGCATATGCTGTGTTGAAATCAGAAAATATCCACATTTGTTTAACACAAATAATACAGTCCAGTACTTTTTTGAACAAAAAAAGAACACAGAGATTTACCTATGTTGCATTACAAAGTCAAACTAGGAGAAGGTAGTTTCGATAGCAGTATTTATGAGAAACCATCTTATTCTATATCAGTCAAGGTAAGCTTTTAAGTTCCTGGAACCATTGGGTTAGGAATATGACATGTAAATCAGAAAATCGAATTGAGAAATTTGAATACATTCATAAAAAACATTACTTTGTAATGACTACCCTATAGAACCTGTTTAAAAGCTGACAAGGCCTCATTAACCGAAGCCAAATAGGAATATTAGCAGTTATTGCAACACATCTAAGAGAATATTCAAAACACATATAGTGTTGCTGTATCAAGAAAGAAAATCAGAAGTTTTTTGGTGGATTCTTGGCGATACTGGAGTTAGGGTCGCAATAAACGGAACCAGTAGCTTAGACAGAGGGAAACTTTATGAGCTAAAGGATCCTGTAGACGCAATTAACTCAGTGGTAGCGTCACTAAATGCAACACTGTGTGAAGAGGGTTCGAGTCTCCGGGTGAGGAAGGGCGTCATTTCTTCGAGGTTGCAGACACACCTTGTTCATGGGTCCCAACAAGCACAAAACCTAGGTCTAGGGCTTCTTGCTGATTACCTTCAACCAATTAACCTAATCTATTAAATATTGTGTAATGACTTCTAGGTGTTACGTACGTATGTCAAAGTTGTGGATTGAGGTCAGTCAGATGGCAAACTCAAAAATCTGGCAAAATGAATGATAGATCCTACTGAGGCAAGCAATCTAGGAAAAAGGTCAGTCGTGACTGTGCCTGCACAAACCCGTAATCACACTATAAGAAAAGACAGCGAGATAGTTTTAATATCCTATTAGAAGTAAAGTTTGATTACTGTGTCATCGAATCAACGTCCAACGTATGCAACACAAATGATTGGTCATATACTGTAGGCAAGCAGGAAATTCTACTCTCAGTAAAAGTAACAGAATAAGAATCGGCTAGAACGAAATCTTTAAATCATGTGCTTACCTTCACATAATTATTTGCAATAAATTGTGCTTGAGTTGTCACCCAGCAAACATATCATTTAATGCTAATGTTTTCTTTTCCTGCTTATGCACAAACAGGGAAAAAGTAAAAAAAGCCACAGAAATTGAACCCAAACTCATACAAGAAACGACTTTTATGAAAAGCAAAATTGAAACTATCAAGAATCGAATTCAAGTACTAGCACAGATATCAAGAGAACACCAACAATCCTTTGATGATTTGAAACAAAAATTAAATAAATTAACTGAAGAGTGTGCCAGTAAACAGACTGTTGCGGAAAATTTATTTTCATGGATTCACAAGAATGAAGAGAACTTAACTAGTCAGTTTCATGGAAGACTGAAAAAGGAATATACTGAGATGAACCGACTGTTGCAGGAAAAATCTGAAATATGTTATAAATTTAAAATGAATGAAACAGAACTAAAAAGTGAAAACGATCGCCGTGAAGAAAGAATATTATGCTAGTAAGTGTTTATTAATTGTGATGTTTATTTCTTTGAATGCCAATTACTTAAACGCCATTAATTTATTATAGACTTTAATTCTCACTGTACTATAATTGCAATCAGACGTCAACTTGTTAAAACCTGGCACCTCACGATAACCCCTAGACTTTGGTTTCAGTATGCTATGTAGTCAACCTGCGTTGTGTAACAAAATCCATGCGTTCACTGATAAAACGTGACTGTCACTTGACCGACAAGAGTAGTATCATATTACTTTCCTTCTAGCGAATAATTTCTGAAAACAACTTTGCCCACCACTATTTACCGTTTCATGACTCAATGGGAATACTTAAATCTTTCATAGATTTGCTTTGCTGAAATTAGATTTAATACTTATTATATCATTTTGCGATGATTTCAATTTCAAATCCTAAAAAGTTGTTCTTACGATTTTCACGCATCTATTTAGTTCACCTGGGAAGAAAAAAAAGAATCTATAATTCCATTTCTTGGTGTACTAACTTCAAGGAAAAGTGATGGATATCTGAAGAAATCGATCTATAGATCTACAGGTGAAAACTAACAAGTTGACAGAAGAGGCAGGGAAAACGGGACTTCAGGTGAATGTGGGTGATGAAGATACTCAACCAACAACAAGCATCAATCACCATCGACAGGAGAAACCTAAAGGAAGTAGTCTCTTTCACCTACCTATCTAGGCAGCATCATTTCAACCACAGGTGGCACGGACGTGGACGTCAAAGCCACATGACTGTTTTGCTGAGAGAAGAGATCTGCACTAATTCAGAGATGGCATTTCAGACTTCATCCCTAAGAACAATCTAACAAGGTCAATAGGAAGAACATTTTACGTTGGGTCTCTTCCAGTATTCTATTCCAGCCGTTCTTTTATCCATCTTAATCTTAAGATGTTACTTCATAGCAGCAGATGAATATCCCTGTCGTATTCGACAGTATCTTCCAGAACGGTTGAGTAAAAAAAGGCAGTGAAAAACAAATTCACCAACCTTCCAATATGAAGTTGACTAAAACCATCCAGCCTGCGGATTATTGTTTGACATTGGTAACAAGGTCAGATCGGATCTGTTAATAGGTCCAAACGTTCATCCACTTTGCATCGCAGATGTCTTGGCGGTAAATAGTATTAAACCGAAATATGCGTACAGAAACATTTTGTACCTTCCCTTTCACTACTTCAGACCTAGCTTATAACTTATCATTTCCCCTCATTTCACACAACTAGTTCTTTCTTATTTAATTCTATTCTATTTAAATTCTTTTTTTTGTTGCATTTCATTTTCACCTGTCTTGATCTCTATCACATAGCATTTGTCTGACTGGTATCCACATTCGCTGTTCCGTATACTCTTCACTATACAACTTTTAAATGAGGTCACATCATATTCACTGAGGTGTAGGAACACTCAGCTGATGAGTCCCAAATAGGACGAAACGCGCTTCCTCGGTTCTACTGCAAGTCACCAAGATGAATATTCCACTATGGTCATTCGTGTAGATTTTATCTTGGAACTTTAGTCTCCTATATTTTTTGGTTCGTTTAAAGACTCTTGAAGTACTATCCTTACAAGAATTAACCCACTTGATGGTTCAACTTATTGTAAAAAGGAAGCACACAAATTTGCTGTTATATACTTTAAATTTTATACAAATAGAATTGTACAGCGCTTTTGAAAATGAAATTGGCACAAATAGAAATTTTCTTGACTGAAATGTTCGTTGTATTATATATATATATATATATATATATATATATATATATATATATATATATATATATATATATATATGTATATATATATAAACTTAATTTGTTTTACCCTTTTCTTACACTTTGTTTCTCAATTAATCTGATTTAGTCAAAACGAAATAACCAAACTAAGAAGATCTGTCGAATTGCTTGAATCACGTCTAACTACTGCACAAGATTTACTGCACTCTTCAAATGCTGATTATAACAGAACAAATGCTAAACATTCATCGGTAGCAAATGATTTAGAAATAACGAAATCACGAACATGGGCAGAACAAGATGATATACAAAATATGTTGAAGTATTTACAACGTAAAATGAAGAGGTTAGGTGTCCCCATTTTATTGCGCATATTATTCAAAGCATATTCTACTTTCGTTTTAGCTTAGGAACATGTGGAAAAGAATAGGTTCACTAGCTGAAATTGTCATAGCCTATTTATATTCGTTCGTTTTAAGACTTACCTGCCATCCAGAAATATTCGTATCGATTTAAACTATATTAACAACACTCTCTTAATAAAGTGGAACTTTAACAAAAAACGTTTCGTTATTATTATAGGGATTGGAAGTGTAAGTCTGCCTGTTAGTCAAGTAATTATTCATACAAATATCACGACAACAATTTAAGCCCGCTTGATTGATTAGAAGAGAGACAACCATAAAAGCTCTTCTCAAGTGATTACCATGCTACCCGAAACGTCGATAACTTTGTGCATATGGCGTAGAATCCCTCACTGAAACAATAAGAGTGCTAAGATATCACCTACCAACTGTCTTCAGATTCTCAGTTTGCACATCTAAATGATTATCATGATGTGTTTTTACGACCTGGTTTTGGCGGACTCAAGCAATTTTTCTTCTTATTTTCCCTGTTCACAATGAATGTAGCAGCAATTAGATTTTTTCCTTTTGAAGACAGTCATCGATTTCAGTTAATGTATAGAATTTAAATGCATCAGATAATTGTTTGGTTTTACTCAAGAACTATTAAGTGTTCACCTCAGAAAACAGCACATAAGTTACTGTTGAAAATCTAAGTTAGACAGTCCCACGGTAAACATGTTTAATTTTAACCGCCATACACTGCATACTACGGAACAGAAACAGACTAAGCGAAATACTTGTCTCCTTCTTCGTACGCTGATGTTCATTGATGTGGCATCAGAGCTTTGGAAAATCGCTTTCCAATCTATCAAACGTCCTGTCATCATTGCACTGCCTACATATTGTGTTCGTTCACAAAAAAGTGCTGAATACTTCAACGACAAGCATAAATATATTATTATTATTTGACCGGAATAAACACAATCACTAAGACACTGGTTCACTTTGTAAGCTTTCAGTTGACCTGAAACCAAGGCTAATTTAATTACCAATTATCTAATTATTCCAATACTTGTTGATCAATGCACCTGTACAAATAAATTACAGGAACAAAAGTCACAAACATCACAATCATGAGATAGGCTTATATTAGGACTGATTATCCATTCACTATGTAGTTCAACTGTGACCATTACTGGAGTAACCATTATTCTATCTTTTCAATTTAGCTCCCTTTATATTTGTCTATCAATAATACTGATTATCTCACTCATAACTGTAATTTATTTCTTACGCTGTAACTATAAAAGAACATTCTAGGACTGACAATTCTTTGCTCAAATATTTGTTGTTTCAAACACCATAGATAACGAAATAAGCCCTTTAGGCTAGTAAAATAAGTGACAAATTTGCAGTTGAGTGACGACCACATTTCAGTAGTAGAAGATGTGACAATAATAATGCATAGAAAGCAAGCTTATGAACTTACTTACTTGGAGGCATACACCAACAGTTTTCATTTCCTGATCTATTTCCAGCATTATAAATGCATCAAGTCCATATGATTTCTTTTTCTTAAAAGGAATCTGCTCTAAAAGTTAGGATGATGGTAGAGCTGGAAAGTAACCTTCAGGAATTTGAGAAAACAAAACAGGAAAGCTATCGTAAGAGGTTGGAATTGGAGACAACAGCTAAACAGCTAGAAAGTACAACTGAAAATGCCAATACTGAATTAGAAGCCGTTCAACATAATCACAAATACTACTTAGAACAACTCCATAATGCAGAGAATGAGTACAGGAAGGTAAGTATTAAATAGATACGGCTTACTATTCCCTTAAATAGCAAAAAGAGATTCATCTTTTTGTTTACCTTACTTTACTATAGTGGAAACGTTTGGAATCTTACCTACAATACTATCTCTACCAAATAGTTTATGATGAGAAAAATTCATTTTACTACCTTTAACTGTTCAAAAATTCTTTAAAGTATTGACTTTATGCTAAGTCAAGTTCAGTCTTGGTATTCTAGTACCTTCAAGACAACTGTATATGAGCATAATATGCATCTTTGTCAACCTTACGTTTGGCATTAGAGTTAAACAGTTTGGTTCGCTAACAAAAGAATCTGTAATCAGTAAAACTACTTAGTTCTTTGGTTGGGAGGGAGTTATCAGCTTTTAGTTAAGCAACACAATTTTTAAACAGATTCTAGTATAACTCTCATAAGTGGTTTAGCGGTAAAAAAACAACTGATAATGAAATTTCCTGAAGATACTTCACATTAAACAAGTTTTAGAAAAGCCTCTTTTTTAATCTTGTTTTTGTTACATATGGTTTCTTCAAGCTTGACGTATTTATTGTGAATTTACAAACTGTTGATCAAATTTTATATCATTGATGGATAGTGGCTAACTGCGGAATCCAGGACGAGCGTTTTGTCCTGATTGGGAACTCACCAGCTGGATGTACCTGCCTTCTAGTGAGCGATGTTGTTCCCACTAAGACCCGAACTCAAGACCGATAACTTCAAACGCTAGTAATAATATTAGTGTTTATCATATTGTTTCCTAGTGCATTGTATTACTGCTTTCTAACTCAGTGACAAGTATAAACTACCAAAGTACCACAAAGAAAACTCCATGCGTTATATCAAAAAAGAAGTTGATCTGCTGATTGACAAATAAACCCAATTAGAGACAGAAAACGAGAGCCAATCATGCGTTTTTTACATCCACTGTGTAGTAAAAATCAATTACGACAGGTTTAAAGTGCTAGAGTATTCGGAATAGGCGTTCGGAGCATTCCGCTTATAGTTACAGGATCTAATACGCACGTATACACCAACAGAGATCGAACAATTCTATCCAGTAAGAATAAAGGAGAATTACAAGTATGTCAATAAATAGTAATAACTACTACCCGTTTTACAAAAAGTGGCTATCGTACCTATGTGGCATGGTAAATAAAACCTTGACGTTTGAAGCGACGGGTCCGGGATTCGAGTCCCAATGGCAACAACGTCACTCACTGGAGTGCAGGTACATCCAGCTGAAGAGTCCCAAATAGGACGAAACGCACGTCCTGGATTCTCCTGTTAGCCACAACCAAACAAATTGCCATGATGTACTCAACCGTCACATATATCTGAACAAGTGTAAGTGCTTCATTGGGCACATAAACATTGCTCATTAGTTTGCCCATTGACCTTTCAATGCAGTTGTTGCTCAGACCAAAAATGAAGGACTATCAATTCACATTACACAATAACACTTTTTCAATATCGTAAGTAAGTAATGTCACCATGGTATAGTTTGGTGTTACTAATCTTGGTCTTGGAGTGTCGTGAAATTCAAATACAGGATGAAGCTTATTTCTTAAATAAGGTAGCCTTAGCTAGTTTTTAAAAAGGAAGAAACTGTGTTCGTGGTACACAGTTATTCATTACTTACACTTAACATTTTTTCATCATCATATCATATTAACTTATACAATAAACAAAAGAAGGGCAGGAAAAATAATGAATAAACCGGTAAACAGTTATGGTTTACCTATGTGGATGACAACAGCTTACAGTTTGCGATTTGGCCAAGTGACAAGTTGATACAAATGTACATTCGAAAAGAAATTAATGAAACCGACGAACAGTAAGAGACATTCAATATGAGTGAATTACGCTACACTTAATATCACGAAACGGATTTCCAATAAACTACAGACATTCATCAACAACTGCTTACGCTCGCTACTGAAGATCAGATGGCCAGAAAGAATAAGCAACAAGGAGCTCTGGGAACGAACCAACCAAGAACCTATCACCCAACAAATATGCATTGGAAGGAAGTGGAGATGGATTGGGCATACACTGAGAAGGCCGGCTGGGGACATCACGCGTCAGGCCCTCGAGTGGAATCCCCATGGAAGCGACGAGTTGGACGTCCCAGGGTGACATGGAGGAGATGGTGCGAGGAGGAAATGAGAGGTTGTGGGCTGTCGTGGAACCAGGTTCAAAAGATCTCAGAGAACAGAGGTCACTGGAGGCGTGCTACTGAAGCCCTATGTTCCATTAGGAACCCAAGGGACTAATAATAATAAATAATATCAGCTAGGAAGTGGTTTCTGTACCGAAAGTCTTTTCATACATTATCCATTATTGGTAACTTTTAGTTTTTAGAGGTCGAACAATTCGATCCACTGAAACAACGGAGAATCACAAGTATATCAATAACGTTTACTTTCACCAGGATATACGCACCTGGGATTCCTTTTTTAGTCACGAGATTGTTTTGTTTTGTCGCCATATTATAAGTTGCTAACTCACATTCGAAGTTGTGTAACAGCCAAAAACGTAGGCTTTGGTGAACAACAGGTAAAAATTACAACTTCAATATCCCTACGGTCGACTCAATTATAGAGAGGAAAACAAGGGGAACTTATCAAGAACACAAGTTACTTATGGGTAGTTGAATCAATAACATTGAGTAAATGTCACCGCGATGAGAGTTTAATTGTGATGTTTATCAGTTACTGTACTTAGAGGCGAAGATGTTATTGATAAGAACAGTTTTCGGTGACCACCAGTCGTTTCTGACATCATTACAACTTGAAGTCTTTCACCTATTCTTATGGGAAGGTAAATTTCTCTATATACTGCCTTTGCTTGGTTTAGTTCATTTTGACTTTCTTTGCACTAATATTCAGCAGAAATTTGTGTTGTCATAAAATTATTTTGATTTACAAGTACTTAACAGCTGTCTCCCATCTTGAAATTCACCAGCAGCGCTGATCTGCAGGAGACTCGAACTGAAATCCCTATATCTCATGCCAACCATGTAATTGTTAAGATACTAATATATTGAAAATTATTAATACCACTCCTGTGTTCTGTGAATAGATATTTATATATTTTTTGTTTTGCCTAGTTTGAAGACGAATGGAACCAAGAATATTCTACAATACGTGACAAAATTAAAACACTTAGTGATTCATTGACGCAATCTAAAGCACAGGCCAATAAACTAGAAATTACATTAGAAGAAGTGAATACTGAAAAAGCTTTCCTGCAAGATAGAGGTAGTAAACTTAAATTATCCTTGTTAGCATTGATGAAGGTTAAACTGCGAACAACTACAAAAATCGGTCAGCTAAGGTGATGTTTTATTCCTTTTTTTATTTGTCATTTTTATCAGTTGATTCATGCCTTGGAAAAATAGGGGAATTCACCATGTTAAAACTTCTAGTCTAGAATACAAATTAGCATGTTAAGTGTCCTACTAAGTTTTATGGTGATTGTAGGAATTGGCAGAAGATAGTACACTTAATTTTCGTATGTGATGACTTTTAGAAAGTCAGATTCAATTAAGACTCCGACCTGTTCACAAAATGACAAATATAAATCGAGTTATTTTTAAGGCCGCCCTATCAACTGCTGAAAAAACCAATCAGTTTTCGGTATTTCTTCTGAGACGTCAGTTTCCCATCAAATGGAGAATCGTAATTGGTTATTTCAGCAATTGCTAGAGTGGGCTTTGAAGACACTCTATAAATCACAAATTTTAACGTCTCCAAACACGTGGTTGTTCTAGAAGTTAGTCAGTGTAAGGTTCAACTTGGATATGACTTTTAAAAATAGGTGAGCAGTTATTTAGCGTATCTTTAAACGCCACCCTAGTAATTGATGTGATAGCCAGGAAACGAGCTTTTTCTGTAACATTGTAAAAAGCTGAAAAGGTTTAGGCATAGTTTTTGAGCACTTATAACGCACTTTGAAATCGTCAAAGCGACTGCAAATGGTGTTCAGTTGCCTTTTGCTTTCAAGTTACTACAGCTAACGAGCTTTGAGAGATATTTAAACTAAGTTGGAATTTGGTGGTTTGAGAAAATCTGAGCATTTGGTAAGCAATATATACTATCTTCGTATTTTTATTTCATAGTGAATGTGAAGACAAAACAAGGTTGTTTTAACTGATGTTTCACTTTTTGGTGCAAATGGCGGTGCAATATACGAAGGTAAAAACTTGGTATGAGAAAGGAAGAACATCGAAGGGTTTCCATCTGATCCCCTGAAAATCCAGTAGAGCTCAAAAATCTTGAAAACAAGTCAACCGTAGCTCTCTATTTTGCAATGTCAGGTCGACTTCGACAATATCCAAATTATTCACAAAGGCTTTAGAAATTATAAGCAACGTCTCATAGCAGAATCTCTGCATATAGAGTGGAGTCGAAATTGTCCAAATAAGAATGAAGAGATCAAATGTGCATTGAACTGGTTTTAACCCACTCCCATATACCGAGATAACCAACAAATGTGATAAGAAATATAAGCACATGTGTATATAGTCTCAATTTGTAGTTCACACACATTCATAATGCACTACAAACTGACATCATCTTTCTTTGACAATTACACAAAGCAGAATCATGCATCCAGAAGAACTCAAACCATGCTGTCATACATAAACTTGGATATTGTAAATTCCGGTTTGCCATAACTTGTATAAAGCTAATAGCACTAAATAGTGAATCGTCAGTCAAAACGACTTCGTTTTGTTTCACATTCATCGAGAAATACAAATATCCAAATCATGATTGCTTCGGATAACTTTTAATCTAAGTACGAATGTATAGATGGATAAGAAATCAATTTGAACGAAACAGAAAACGTCTTATATTCAGAACTATTCTGTCCGACAGGCATTTGGGAAACGTACGAAGATAACAAGATCAGAAAATAAGCAGCATACGATTTGAAAACTTGCTATCAATCATGGTGTTCAATATCTAATGGAATTAAACGAAACCAGCTTTGTATTCATCTATTCATCTTGGTGACTACGGGTGGGAACCAAAATGTGCTTTCCGTCTTATTCAAGACTCACCAGCTGGATGCAGCTGCACCCCAGTGAGTGCTATTACTCTCACTGAGACTCGAACTCAGTGCCCGTCGCTTCAAACGCCAAAGCGTTATCCACTGGGTTTTCACATATATCTCATAATGATACATCAAATATTTACAGATAAGTTTGTATAATATTAAGTAGAGTAGACAATATTATGGATAATTCCGTCTAACATTCATTATTAAGTGATGCAATATAGTTATCCAATTTCCAAGAAAAACTTCTAAAACCTTCACATCTGATGGTCACGAGTATTTGACGTGCAAAAAAAGGGATTGAATGTATTTTGAAATGAAACTTATATTATGCGTTTTTGGTCTTCTGGAAGAATCCAAGTTACTATCCCTCATAATAATAATATATCAAGATTTATCTATCTCCTTAGCAGCTCCTATAGATATCCTATATGCTGAGAGAAGCAACTTTAGGAGAAGGCTACACATTTTCCAAAGTAGTTTAAATTTTTCGAACATTGGTGGAAAGAAATGAGAGATAAAATTGAATTTTATGGATAGGACGTCATTTTCACTTGAAATAAGTACTACTGACTGCTGTAAGAAATCTTTCTTTCTTAAATTCCAGGTGTACTATTGCTGAACTTGTGAAACAAATAAAATACTGAATTCGGAAGTGAGACTTTTAGAAGAACAGGCTGAAAAGATGTATCTTCTCCAAAAAGATCGTGAAATACAACAATCTAATCTGATGAGATCCCGTGATTCACTGCTGAAAAAACTGAAGGTAATACTTGTTTTCAAGATATTCTGACTAACCGCTTTATAAGATTTCAAAAATTTCAACTAAACATCCTTCTAAAAAGCTGGTGAAGGCATCCTAAAACTATGGTGGTCGTTGGACATTATAATCCGTGGGTAAGAGGTTATTCGGAGTGCAGTAACGAATGACCACAAAGATACCAATCAAAAACCAGTTTCTTAACTCCTACACTTATTGAACTTTCTAGGCCTTGAAGCAAGGTGTACGCAAGATTAATGACTAAGGATTACATGCAGGGATCAGACTATGAATGCACCACTGTTTTGTCGGTCAAAAAAGCGCATATATTCAGACATTTTTAAAAATAAATGTGTCTGCCACTTTCGAAGTAAATAACAAAGAAACTATCCAGCTTCTCTTTTTGTAGTAGGTTTCGTGAATACGGACCAATTATTTATAATATATATGTGCACATAGCTGATTAGGTATTTTCAGCAATATACAATAAGATAACTCAAAGAACACTAGATGTTTTTGTCATTCTAAATAACTCTAACAGTATGATAATAGTGAGTTGATGTAGAACAATGAATGATAGCGAATACGTTCCACAAAGACAAAGCTGCAATAACAAAATCAAAATTTCAGTTTCTAAATCCCTGGCATCAAATAATGTTTCTTCTGTCAGGTAGCAAGAGTTAGGTTTGTATTAGGATAGAAACCAGCAAGAAATTTTTTTGTCGAATGGATTTTCACTTATCAAATCACTAAATTCCGCATCTAACTTTAGCCTTGCCTCTTTTATGAGTTTATGTTGAAGACTATTTTCTTCCCGTTTATTCCATAACTTTTTAAAAAAGAAACGTCGTAAATGACTCCAAGTGCCAGGGAAAAAATTGGCGGAGAGGCAAGTCAGAGTTTCATGACAGTTTGGCATTCTATCAACGGAGTATATCTGCCACTTTAGGGAAACCTACATTTCTCACATTATTCGGCATTTATATGAGTTAAGAATTGTAGTATCTCAGTTTAAAAACGATATTTACATCAATCAAATATCTTTTCATGAGGTGTTGAACGAAGATTTTACTAATAGTCTAATACTGGCACACACAGCCTATCATATAGGTGAGTCTCAGGTTCATGTTTTCATAATTGCCGGTGGTTTGGTGTTCTCTAGGCTTTGGCATTTCGTCATGAACGTTTCATCACCAGGGGTGGCGACACTGGGAGCACTAACTCCATGAAAAATAATAATTCAGAATAATGGTAACAGTCAAGAATAATAATTACGAAGTTAGAGCTGAAGACGTCCCAAAACCTGGTGATACAACGTTCACGATGAAGTATCAAAGCTAAGAGAACACTAAACCATCATCATCCTAATTTTCGGTTACGAACCTTTTTCTTGGTTTCATAATTCCACATAATACTGAAGGATAATTTACTCTTAGTCGAAATTGGGTTAATGTTGATAAGCCCAGTCCGTATGTTTACTTTAACGCCTCAAACCTTTCAGTTCCTTTTATGGCACCTAGAAATCCCATCCTATCAGAAGCAATAACGGTACCACTGTTGGAGAGAGCATCAGAATAAAATAACGTTAATGTTTGCTACTTCGTGATAAAACTTAGGTGTTTTTCAAACAATATCGACTTACAGTTAGAGAATCTTGTCAAATTATTAAAAAACCCTTACCTATTTACTCAAAATAAGAAATGTATGTCTTTTGTGCATCGAATCTCATAAAGTTGTACTTTATTCAAATGGCCAGGAGGAATTGAAGGAGAAACTGTCTCTTAACTTAACACTATCGAACCAGTACATCAAAACGCAAGAAGAACAAAGCAAATTACTATCATTGTATTTCTTAGCTCTTACTGATTCTATGTTAGATCAAATTCAGTTGTTCAATGCTGAACAAGTGAGTTAAATCGCTACTGTATTATTTACTTTTATATGTACATATAACTAACCTCACTGAAAAAAGAGATGTTCACCGATCATTGTCTACTTCACAGAGTAGTGGTCAACTTGTTATATACGACAGAAAATTGTATATTCAAGAGTTAAAGCCTAAATTCATCTACATATTTGTGGGGAAGCATTACAAACTCTAACAAGGTATATGTGTACGTATAGGTTTACTGAGAGCTGTTAGTGATAATTGCACTGATACTCTTCTCCATTTATGAAAATATAAAGGAAACGGTTTCAAACAAATACATACTTTACGATAACTACACTATTCAAACTAAAGTAGATAGAGTACAGTTAGCTGTATCTTAGTATGGTTTGATGTTGTCAACATAAAACGTAAATTTGTGTGTTCTTTTGACACTAACTCACCAGTCACCAATGTCTCTGGTCAAAACAAGTGATATTTTGTGATTATATTTCTTTGCATACCGATTTCTCTGAGTCACTTAACAGTGCTACTAATTTTATGTACAAGAAACATTAAAGTTACAGTCGAGTTAACATTTTCATGAGGTTGTTGGCGTTGCCACGAGGAATCATTCAAGCCCTCTGTTAGTGGATATTTATGTCACACTTGCGAAGACAGCGGAGAATTTGATTGAGCAAGACCATCTATATCGAAGATATGTCGACGACATCTTGATTATAACTTAGGTCAGTCCACATCAATTTTGAACCGACTGAATGAAGTGAAGAGCGGCATATGCTTCACATGTTTGGAAGACACTGATTGCTTGTCTTTCTTAGACATATTAATTAGTCAGCGGTAGGATGGACCCATAAGACGACCTATCTACAGAAAGCCTACCTGGACAGGTCAATATTTGAAGGACCATAGCTTTTGTCCAGTTCAGTACAAAAGAGCGTTAGTTAAGTGCTTATTCAGTAGAATTCAGCTACTATGGATAGATGGTACTTTGGAAGACGAGAGAAGAACGCTGACTGAAATACTGTTAGGAAATAACTACCCATCACAATTTATGAGGCAGTACAAAATAACCATAGTGCTAAAACCGGCTCTTCACTTTGTCGCAAAGAAAAGTGCTTTCATCAGCTTTCCATGGCGCAGTCCTGAAACAGAGACTTAACGCTGTTGATAGAAGGACCTACTATACAGCTGGGATTCAGTTAATTCGAACCACCAAGCCTGTATATGCTCCCAAACCCTTTACAGCACGTGAACAACAACATCACATCACACTGCATTTACCATTTCTAGGTACGCTTGGCAACACATACAGGGAGGAAACATAGGTATGTGCAAGGGCTTCGGAACATACTCAAAGGTGCCTTCAGATTCAAATTGAATACACAAACGTTGATAGCAGACGTTTAAGTTCTTCGATCGTGAATCATATCGCTGAGACAGGTCACAGGATAGATATGCCTACTTCCTTAAGACCCACTGACAAAGCGTGTCGGAAACGCATCCTCAGATTTGCTGAGGTCTTAGAAAGTCTTAAACACTTTTGAGTTCAAAAACAATTTCTTATCACGTCCAATCTCCCTTGGTGAATTCAGCTATGAAACCAAGTTCGATTAACCATTATTTTTGCCTTAAATACAAACTTCCTACTTGACCATTTTCATATTCTCACCTTGTATCTTCATGAATTTTTATATAAATACCTATGACAAGTACGTGTGATCAGACTGTTCAAATTGCGTTGCGCAGATACATTGCACGGTCAAGACAATTTACGTCTTCTTATTGTTTAGTCGATGTTTATAAAGGAAAATAATTGTTTTAAATAACTAATCCATAAGCAGAAAGACCGACTCTAGCATTCACCCTCAACACTAGTCTCATCTTCATTAACTCTGCATCAACAACAATAAGAGGATTATACAGTTATATCAGGTCTTTTGATTTTATTTTCCTGCACGATCGTGCACGCGGTAGCTGAGTGCATTTCGAAGTGCAAGCAACTTGTAAATCAAGCGAAACCATTAAATTTTGACTAATTAGTTGATCACTTAGATTTGTCAAGTTCAAATACGTGTACGAAGTGTCTGATTTTTTTAGCTAGCAGAACGATTCATGTGGTATGGAAATAATCATTCACAAACTGAACTCCGTTTTATTTGTTTATACAATAAATACTTATCATCAAACCTCATCATATGCATACGATCTGAAATCGTGCCAGGACTATACACCATTCAATTTATCAACATATATGATACAAGGTTTATAGATTTTAGACAATTACCATTGATAACAGCTGTGGGGAGCACGAAACAAGAGTAAAAAGGGTTGCTGCTTTCGTGGCATTAATGGTGAAATTGATCGTGCAAGTTGTTATATCCTTCCGTAAAAATGTTGATACACAATGCCTTAACGAATAAACATTACGTCCTTTAGTGTTATTGCTTGTATTACACCGTCGTCGATTGGACCGAAGTGATCACCCTGTTGGCATATGGGATCCTGTGCGGATGTCTCGATATTGCCTGTGGGAACATCACTCACTGTGAGGTACATCCAGCTGACGAGTCCCAATTAGGACGGGATACACAACCTGGATCCCGCTGCTAACCATTATTCATCATTACCATATGACGTCCTTTGTTGACGGATAAAGGCTGAAGGGATTCACTAGCGCTGTAATTCAAAAACGTACTGCGAGTTGGCAGAGCACGTCGCACGAGGAATACACTGCAGTAATCGTCTAAACTGCTGGCTTTAGTGTGTTACTGAGCTATCCTTGTAGTGCAGAGACAGTCACGAAAGTGGGAACCCCAGGTTTTTGACCATTTTATGTCGACACTACTTATAAGGACCCTCACTAACACTATATTTTCCGCTAATGTCCTTTTTGTTCTTTAGTTTGACTCTTCGGTGGTGTAAATGGACTAGTAGGAGTGATAGAATACCAGTTTCGCTCTCGAATAACATTCGTCACTGGTCTCTGGTGTGGCTTAATTCTACAGGACCTATGTTTGGTTACAATCTAAAATAAGTATATGAATTTCGTCAACGATAAATTTTTGTGTAAGGGAATGATCACTTTCAAATTATTAGAAACGTCGAATATTTTTCACGACTCTGGCGAAACACCACTATATCAGCATGATAGAGCGGTTGAGTGACTGTCCTTGCAATCGATGTTGTACATACACCAAATTTTATGGACATCAGATGAAAAGTTGTTAGAGGCAACCAACAGAAAACAACTGTCATCTTTAGTTTTGGATTCATCAGCAGTCGTATACAATCTGCCGTTACGTGAAGTCAATTCAGAACCTCAAAATCTTGCGATAAAAAGTAATCAGTATTTTCCGACCTTAACCACCAACTAGTGAAAGTGAATTTGAAGCTAAGATAAAACAAGAGTTGAGTGCATAACCACCTCACCCCCTCACCTTTCAAACAAAAGGCGATAGTCTTTTGAAAATATCTTGTTAAAACTGCCGATTAATATACTGTAACGCAATAAAAAATTTTTTTAATAGGTTGCAGCAATATGCGCACGAAATCTGCGTCAACGCGACTGTTGGGAACAGAGATTACAAGCCAAACAAGAGAGAGAAGTCGATAATTTGTTCAATCGAAACCGGGATGTTAACCAACTGATACAAGTAGCTGGTAGCCTGCATATCCCAGGAACGATATCTTTGAAGTGTAAAACATGAAACATTTCTCAATGGTTGTCTGAAGCCTACTGGTCAGAAACCAATTCGAAAATGATTCAGTCAAGTCTGTGTATTGTGAAGTACATACAGCTGTTGTTATTCATCAGTCCCACCACCTAAATAACTTTTTATAAGTTACATACATTCCATGAATAACTGGAAATCTTATATTATTCCTTTTGTTATGCTTCAAGTTCTACATCCCTAAATAGTAGCATTACAACAATAAGCACTACTTTTGTTATCGTTGTCATCCGCTGTTTTCATTTTCTATTCAGAGGAAGTTTCCAAATAGCTATCTACCAACTAAAATGAGGACTGTTAGAAAAGAGTAACAACTAAGTAATTGATCATGAGTAGTTTATGCATTTCCAACTCTCACAACAGATGTGTTGAAAAGATCTTAGTGCAAGAAAAGAAGCCATTCGTTTTTTAAATCATATTGTAATTCAAAATATTCTCTAAAAAGTGAAAAATAACACTTGACAATCTGGTTAACATATATATATATATATATATATATATATATATATATATATATATATATATATATATATATATATATAATCAGCTTATGTCCTAAAGAAGTACATCATATACAATTATCTTAAAATATCTCACGTATAAAGCAGAACAGCGATCTTATCTACATACAGTATTATTCACTACACAAGGAATAAAAAAGCGATTTTAATTATCATACCAAATCTTGAACGTACACATTGTTTAAACAAGTATTCCGAAGACGAGAGTTGATCACTGAATAGGTTAAAGTAGGGTTTGAAGACGATGCTAAAGCGATTACATATCGCCGTAATCAGATCTGTTGTGATGTTGAATATCACTGGATCGTAGACTGACAGGAGGCAAAAGTTCAAGATAATTGGTATTTTCTAGACTGGAATGTATTTGTCTAGGTAAAAGCGGTTCTATTGGGGAGCAATGTTGGGAGCTTATGTGTACGCCATAATTATGGGAATGTTGTTCAGGTAAATGATGAACCTCAGATAATCGTTTGAACTGCAGGCAAATACTACAGATGACAGTGAATGAGAGTTAACAGGATGCGACTCTAAAATAATAGACGAAGAAAAGTTTAGATTTGAAGAAAATTCCAAATTCTCACTAAGCTTACGATTCAAAAACTGCAGAGCTGAGTTTTTCAGTGACCAATCAATGTACACGATCCAGTCCTGAAGGAGACCAATCGCGAACTAAATAGCTCAGTGGTAGTCTCCGACTGCAGCACTGAGTGATGCGGGTTCAAATCTCAGACGGGACTGATGTCCCTTCAAGGTGGCAGATACACCGTGATGGAGAGTGGCTAAAAAAGCACGAAACCAAGGACCAAGGCTTCCTGACGATTGCCTATATCCAATTAACGTGAACTATTTCCTCTGCAGTTGACTACCTAAACTAAAATAAGATGAATTCATATCCTCGTTGGCAGATGGTAATCGAGTGTCACAACCACAACACTCGTTGTTGTCAGTTATTTCAATAATTATCAGAGGGGGGATATAAAAACGTTGTCCAATCGCCGAATGCTCGCACATTTTAGTTGTTTCTCACCTATTCACATGAACAAATACAGTGAGATGAAAAATATTAGTAATCTTTTATTTTTCCTGGTAAATATAAATTTCATTCTTAAAGAAAATATTCTTCGAAGCTCTTTTCAATCCAACATACTGCATGGCTCAGCCTAGAAAAGGGACAGTTAACTGGTTTTGCTAGAAGCGTTTAGATAAAACCAATGTGAGGAAAATGATGATGATGGAATCTCACGCATACAGTGGAAGATTTTATTTCGTGATCCTGCTTTTAAATAATATAGAGCGATAAGCTTGCTATGCGGATTTACCGTTAAGATTACGTTACACAAACGTGGCAATACATACTGAAATTGTGTAGGAAATCAACCTATTCACACAGAGCGATATAAATCTATTTTTCAGCTAGAATGCTACCCGAATGTCCACACTAAGAAAAATTGTACAGCTTAGTTATAAGTATCAAATTAGAGTTCTAAGGCTCCAGCGAGAACCCAAACGGCAGATGTCTTAACACCACCAGATCCGTACGAGTTACAGACCATACAACAACAAATCTAATTCATGAACCAGTGTTACTTTCTGCGTCTGTTATTAGTGTTAGACTCTTTGTTAGTGAATGACTATTGGTTTATCACTGCTCTTAACCATAAGCACAATTCATGAGCATCCGATAAATAAAATGCATCTGACATTATACCAATCGTTCATACCATCATGCAGACTAAAAGGAAACAAGGAGTAGAATATAGAGATTTAAACAACATGACAAATAATTCAGCTAGCAGCCTACGTCACTTGAATGCGATTACAGTAAAATAATTCATACTAGTGGGGCAACCTACCATCATTTTCTTCACTCAACAAATCTGAAAAACCATTTGATGCTGTTGTGACGACTGATGTCGATATTACCCCCTAAAAATAAGTGTAAACCAATACATATGTTATGCTCTTTACAAACTACACGTACATCATAGAAGAAAATGATAAAATCCATGGTACAAATACATACTTACCTAGAACCTTACTTACAACGACAAAAGAAACCTCGCAGCTAGGAAAACAAATTCCACCTGCCACACTTCACAGCAGCATGAGAGAATAAGTACTCTGGAAAGGAATGATATCAAAGTGAACAAGTGTATGAAAGAGAAAACAATTTGAAAATCGAGGTTAGCATAAGTACTCCAGTTGCAGGAGAAGTCAAAGAGTGAATATGTCTCCACCATCATGGCTGGTATTCAGCCATTCCACTAAGAGTCTGCAACCATTGGTCCCACTATTGATATTCTTAAGGACTACAGCCTGGTAGTCTATGATTCAAATTAACGGTCGGAGACTTCATGAACTGACACCACATATTTATCTGGCCGATAAATGTTCAGCCGACTCGCCTAGTTAAATAGTTCACTAGTTACTAGCCGGTCCTAACCCCGGATAAAGAGGGAGGGCTGGGCATAAGCCTAGAAACCCTACTCAATAAAACCAATCCAGTCGATAAAGAAACTCCAAAGCACAAATAAAATATAAAAAACAAACTTATTCCTCGCTGGAACTCGAGAGACAAAATGACACCGGTTGGTGAAAGCTTTCGGGAAGCCAATTGGCCGATCTGTCTTCTCTCGATGAAAGCAAAAGAAAGCATGGGGACATGGGATGTCCGCACAATGTTTAAAGCTAGCAAGGCTGCTCAGATTGACAAGTAGATGAGAAGGTATGGTATAGAAGTGCGACCGGAACAGGCTGGTTGACTTCATGAAGAACAAATCATATGTGTATCAAATCGCAACGCTACGCTATGCATCATCATAGAACAGAGCATAAAATGGCAGTCAACTCTCTAGCTCAACTTCATCGATTTTGAAAAGGCATTCGGTAGCGTCAACCGAAAAGACTAGAGGATTTGGATTTCGCCGATGATTGATGTTTAATGTCGCACAAACTCGAAGATCTAGAGGCGAAAGCCAACAGGTTAGTAGAAGAGGCAGCGAAGACGCGGCTTCAAGTGAATGCAGAGAAAACAGGTGAAAATACCCAGCCAACAACAAGCACCATTCACTATCGACCGGAGAAATGTAAAGGAAATTCTCTTTCACCTGCCTACCTACCTAGGCAGCATCGTTTCAAATACACGCGGTGGCACAGATAAAGATGTGAAAGTCATGATCGCAAAGCAATCAATTCATTAACCTGAAATCAGTGTGAAAATCTACTGCACTCAGCATAAAGTACAAGATCCAGATTTTCAACACCAATTTATTCAAGGAAGTCAGTGCTTCTATGTGGTGGTTTAGAGACTTGGCGCGTTACAAAAAGCATTCCCAACAAACTACAGACATTCATCAATAGCTGCCTACTCTCAATACTGAAGATCAGATAGCCAGAATACTAAGAATGAGCAACAAGAAACTCTGGCCTGACAACGAACCAACAAACTAAGAACCCATCGCCCAATAATAATGCAGAAAAACGTGGAGATGGATTGAATTGTGCATACACTGAGAAGATAGTTTTGGGACATCACGCGTCAGGCTAGGCGAGGCTCTCAAGTGGAACCCAAAGGGGATACGACGAGTTGGGCGTCCAAGGCGAGGGTAGCATGGAGGAGATTGTGTAAGGAAGCAATGAGAGTTTGTGGGCAGTCGTGTAGCCAGGTTGAAAAGACTGCAGAGAAGGGAGTGCAATCGAGAAGTGCTACTGAAGCCCTATGTTCCACTAGGAACCCATAGTACAAATAGTAAAATTAATATAACTGATTCCTCTCTGCCTAAAACTCTGAACCTGACTTCTACGTTGCTGATGCGTTGACACCACGACATAGCCAACGCTGCTAAGGCAATGGCAGTCAAACACCTGAAGCCTTCTCACATCGTCTAATTTTAGTGGCTAATTTTCACAAACACGTGGTAGGATAAGTCGAACTGCAATGCAATGCTCTGGACCCTTAATAGCAAATCGGACGATAAAAGGACACCTTAATAACTACTGCGATAAATTTGAATAAGAATGGGGAGAATGAACAGCACTCGAGATATACAACCCACCATAGGATCTAACATGATCACGGGTATTCGAGCACAGAAACTCCAACAGAGGGATCCACTTAGATGGCTCTACTGAAGGAAACGATAAGGCAGAGACGAAGGAACGAATTAGCATGTAGTACAGTAGTCGTTAAATATGGTACACCTTGCACTAAGACAATCAAGTGCAAAATGTGCTTCATTTCCTCTCATGCTTCTCTGTTAATTTGCTCCTCACACGGTCGCATTGTCTCTTGCGTTTCTCCGGGCAGAATCCTTACCGATTGCTGATAATTCCCTTTGATTTCTGCCGCCCTCTCAACATCTACTACTACTTATATCCATTCTCATTAGCAATGCCAACTACATTACTTGCAGTGAGTGACACTACCATAAGACCTCTCGATTGATAGAGTCGAATGCAGCTTTCTGGTCGATAAAAGTAGAGTGTTGGCTGTGAATTAGTGTACCTGCGTTCCAGAACCCGGCATACTGAATATCTGGACGACTAACTTACAGTCAGGTCTCAAGTCTACTTGGTTTCCCCAGGTCTGCTGTTACTGAGCTCCGCTTGAGCATGTGGTAATTATTGGAACTAGAATTTGGAGCGGGATCAATTTATATATAGCGACTCGGCGCAATAACTATGGACAGGATGACTGTTCGGCATTTTCTCAAATCTGTCAATCACAAGACTAAACAAGGAACTGAAAACACGGTCAAAACCAGTAACGACGACCATACCATCGATTCAAAGAAATAACGAAACCCAACGACTCTTCACCTTCGGAAACCATATTTCATGCTTGAATGAGAATAAAGTTTCTTGTTACGCAGTAAGATTCTTATTCGATAGACAAATGCAGACTTCGCCGACAGTACACACTGTTCAGTACCGAATGAGTCTCTTTTCATTCAGGTTGACATCATGCGAACGATCAGTCCGGCAAGACTGATGTAGTTTCTTAAAAATATTGCGACTAAAAGGCCCAACCACTTCCCTTCCTGCTCCTCATTTAATTTTAGTAAACGACAACATTACAGAATCATATTTTACCTGAGTGATGCATCGTCAGACTTTGCTGAGAAAGTTTAGAAAATCTGTTTCTTCAGCTACTCAAAAGAACTATTATGATTTTTTTCCAATACTGTTAATAGTTGTTGCATGAGAAGCCTATACATACACACTAAACTAACTAATACATTTGGTAAGCATCAATGTGGGATCTGGCATCACTACGTAACGGTACATATTGCCACAACTAATATCAGCAAATCGAGTTTGAAAAATTTAAGATAAAGAAAAAACTGGTCGAAGCGCAACAAAGTCGCGAAAAGACCACGAGGAGTGAAACAATATTAAAATTCAGTGTGTAGGTTAACATGAAGGTAATGTGTGGATATATCCGCGACACTGAGATCCATTCTAACAGACAAAGACCTAATAAAATGAAGCCACTTTTTAAAATCCGAAAGCTACTTCGGCTAGCATTGCACGAGTAAACGGTGGCTATCAATGAGCACCACTTGTCGCAGCCGTAGGACTAAATGAACATTCACAACTTTATAACCTGATATCCCCTTCCAACTCTAAATGCTACACCCAGCTTTTAGGGTAATGAAGTGGGGGCACCACAAGACTCGACCCAGGTTATGAAGACAAGGGTGATCGAACATCGGAAAACTTCTGATCTTCTCCACTTTCGTTGGCCATTTGGTAGAACAGAGGAAACATCAGTGCAGCAAACAGACAAATGGTACAAGTTGGCAGATGTTAATCAATATTTGTATATGCGTGCCGAAATTTCTTCAATCACTGACTAGTTATGCATGGTCCAGCAACCCAATTAAATGAAGCGGTCAACGCACTACACCACTTCACTCCCTACTGTGAGACTTGGCATCAACGAAGGCCACTGGGGAGTATATCAATTTGCATTCACATTCTCAAATTGCCACTCATGGAGTTCAGGAGACTCTTGTCAACATCCTTCCCTAACAGGACTCACCCACATACTCTAGGTCACACAAGTAGTCTTCAGTCACAACGTCATTCCGTGTAAAGTAAGACGATGAGGAGACCTTTTTAAGTTTTATAGTGAAAAGAAAAGAAAGGTTGAATCTTCTTCGGTTATTAAAAGAGGATTTCTAACCTTTCTTGAAAAATGGAACAGTTAGTGATTGAGAGCAGCCAAAGGGTATCATATCTCGCTCCCACACACTAGCTAACAGTTTGACCAGTAATCCTCGATCCCCGTCCTTAAATACCTCTTGGTACTGGTCCATTTGGCCCTGCTGACCTTCGTCGTCTCAGGTTCCTTACAGTTTTCTCGACTTCTTTGGGTTTTGTGGTCCCTCTCAATCATCCTTCCAAGATCCCATCGCATGACAGGCAACAGAATATTAGTTGGATTCCAGTTGAAATGTACTTCGAAGTGTTCCGCTCTCTGTAACATCATTCTCCCCTACTGCCTCACTAACCACTCACCCTTTCGCCAGTGTCCTACATCAGCAGTCTAAATAATTGTTAGTAGCTGTCTATCGTCACTCCTTTTTCATCTCCCTAGCCTTCACTGTCCACCAATGTTTGTGGACACTCACTGCGTAAACGTCTTGTTAATCTCCTGATTGTGCTCAGGAGCCTGCAGGAATGCGTTCACGTACATCCATTAATTGAGAAGCTGCTGGCCCCTACCGACCCTTTATAACCACTCTCTGAGAGCCGGCTACGGTCTTTAACACTGCCTTTACAGCAGACTGGAGATGCCACCAGGCTTCTTCTGGATGAGTGGTGTTTCTCTTTTCGGATAACCGTCCAGTCAATTCCTCAGTATTCTCATCAACGGTCTGGGGTTGGAACAATCTTGTTGCTGTAGTTTTTCTGCGGCCAGACACATGCGTGCTCAAACCAACACGTGGTCGCTCGCCGTCCAAACGTATGCTCTGAAAGGAGCGACAATCTCCCACCGACCCTCACCAGAGATAACTGATAGCAATATGGTCTATCTGTGTTCACCGCTGGGATGAGGTCAGTGGACCCCACGTCAGACAGTGTCTCCCTGTATGTTTTAGCTTTGAGCTGGCCACAGAAAGATAGTTGTCTGAGCATAGTTGCAGTAGGCGATCGCCGTTATCTGGTCGTAAGATTCAGAAAGCGCCACCTATGTACTTTCCTGACTGAATTAGGTTGCTCACTTGAACACTGAAATCACCTGCTGTAACAAGCACCTCCGGACGTTCGGCTTTCAGTGGAAGGACAGCCAGTTTTCGATAAAACTCATCCTTCACTCCTTCCAAACTGCTTAAGCAGAGATCGCAAAGAGATAATTGTGAGTTTCACTACTCTTTTTAGTTTTGGCTCTGCCATTCAGTCGAACAGCACATTGGCGACCGTCAACTGGGATTCAGTCGACCAGTGTGCGTTTTGCCTTAGCAGTTAGTACTCTACCTACTCTTGCAAGACGGCAAAAACTCGAAGGGTGGATTTTGCAGATTCACCACATTGACCAGGCGAGGTTAAGTGGATAACTGTACTCGGGTCCTGCATGCCTCACTCACAAACACAGAACACGTCCATGGCCTGAGATGCCTGAGTTCTGGCTAGCGAAGCTTGTTGGACGATTTAACAGAGGGTACGAACGTTGAAAGCCCCAATGTGTGTAGGTTTGAACATGGTCTCGCGAAACCAGAGATTCTGTTCTGTGAACTCGAATGACTATTGAGAGCTGAAAGAAAAGTAGGGATGATGAAAGATATGAGGAGAGATAAGTAGGCATAGATGTAGATAATGTAGATAAATGTAGGTTGGTAATTATTTGAGGGAACTACAGCACTGACACGAAATTGTTTGACAATTCCCTGCTGTCCCACTGTAGGTGGTTACTGGCGAAGTTACCTAGAAATCGTATTAGAAACACTGGTATGTCACAGTAGTGTTGAAAGGAAACGTGTTTCAGACTGGTGTTTCGGCAGATCAGGTTAATTTTCAAGTGAGTTTAAGTACATTTTCAGAGCTGATACGAGAATGATGATTGCTAGACTATTTTCAAATCCTCCAGATACTGAGAAGAATTTGAAAGTTAGTTATATAGAGCGTTTCGCAGAGGAAAGGAATAGAATTTCATTTAGTTGCAGTTTTTAAAATTCTTTAGAGAATGGTTCGACATTAATTAGGCAAATATTTTTATGCTCACTTTCTAGGATGCAGAATCTTCACACATAAGAGGTATTGGTAAATTACTTTCAGTTCCTGTAACCTTTAATCGCAGCACAGGGTGGAGATTATTCCAGATGAAACCTTTAGGATTGAAGGATGTATTAATGTGCATTACCCATTCCCGAAAGCACCTGGGTTTATCTGAGTCAGTTGAGTTATTGGTTGTGAATATTATTATAGGCAGAACGTAATATAACGTTTAGGTGCGATTAGTTGATTTCATCAAACTATAAAGATACATAAGGTATATTTGAATATGGAAATAAACTCACATCTAAGTAGAGTTGCTGAGTTGAATCTGAAGATTCATCTGTAAAATTTGCACTTGAATGAAGACGAGAAAGCAGATTGATTTGTTTTTCAATCCGACAAACAAGCATTTTAGGTCGTCCACACTTAAACATTAAAAGTGCTTCACCTAAAGTAAGATTTTTGTCGTAAAAAAAGTTCGAAAATAATCATATTTAGTTATTACAGTGATTTCATGAAAAATAACATTGTCTAACAGTTAAGCAATTAACGCTGGTTCATCATATAATTCATCTATACAACACGTTCATAAACTGTAACAGAAATAACAATTGAGTGGATGGTAGGGTACTAATTGTTTTAAAGAAGGGCATTTAGTTCTATTTAGTTTTCGACGGTTCTTAACCTCAATTCACTTTGAAAAGTTAACCATTTTTGCAGAACAGTTTAGTAAACCCATGTATCAAAGACTGGAAGCATTGTATTGTAGCACGAACAAAATGAGAATTAGAAGTTTCGGAAAACGTGTCTTTTGGTGTACATGTTCAACCACAGAATAATCAGATCTATAACAAACAATCTAACAAATCGACAGAAAACCTCTGACAAAAGTGCCGCAACTAAGTTGTCACATGTCACTGCAGTACCGGAGGAAGTGATTCGAAAAAGGATGATAACACAATAAACAGAATGCAAAGAGAACAACTAAATAAACGTTGATGAAAACGCCAATGATGGATAATGGCTAGCAGTGAAATCCAAGATATGCATTTCGTCAGCTGGATATATCTGCCTCCCAGTGAGTGTTGTTCCCACCGGGATTCGGACACGGGACCGATCGCTTCAAACGCCAGAGTGTTACCCACTACACCACCGAGCCAAGTAATATCAAGGCATCCGCACAGGAGCACATATGCCAATAGAGACCGATCACTTCGGTCCAACTAACGACGGCATAATACAAGCAATAATACTAAAAGCTTACGAAAATGTTCAAAACTTTAGGTGATAGGGAGTGGATTTATCTACACCAATATTATCGGTTTTGAACTATTGTATCAGCAGTCTCTAATCACCGATTTCTAACATCTAGAAAAACTTAAAGTAGCTTGCACCTCCACATGTAGTTAAAAGTAGTAGGAACTTAATAAAATGATCCCGAATTTGGTAATGGTCAGTCCTACTCTTCTTCCAACATATTGCTATTTCAAATAACAATGATGTGTGTAGTTGGGAAGTCGACGCGTATAGCGTACCCAAGTTACCTTTTTTATCTGGTGCTCTACACTAAGCTACAACATTCTTTAACCTGTGGTCTAAAAATATCCCAGCAATGCTGTAAATAACCTCGCCTGGTTATCTAGTTCACTAGTTACTAGCCGGTCCTAACCCCGGATAAAGGAGAAAGGTTGGGCATACGGCTAGCAACCCTACCCCGGAAAACAAATCCAACCGCTAAAGAAACTTAAAAGCACAATCAAAATATAAAAATAAAAACAAAATTATTTCTCGCTGGAATCCGAGAGACAAAATGACGCCAGTTGGTGAAAGCTTTCGGGAAGCCAATTGGCCGATGTGTCTTCTCTCGATGAAAGCAAAAGAAAGCATGGGGACATGGAATGTCCGCACCATGTCTGAAACCAGCAAGGCAGCCCAGATTGCAAACGAGATGAGAAGGTATCATATTGAAGTGCTAGGAATTTGCGAAAGCAGATGGAGTGAGAGTGGACTCTCCAAACTGTCGACTGGAGAGTCAATAATCTACTCCGATATTGTCACCCAGACGAAAACCACGAGCACACTGAGTTATGGAGTGGCTATCATGATGTCCCTAACAGCATAGAAAGCTCTCTCTTATGCAGTGAGAACCAATCTCCTCCAGGATCATGACAGTAAGCTTCGACTCACAAAGAAGGAAGGTCACAATCATATCATGCTACGCTATGCACCTACAAATAATTCAGAGGAAGAGAAAAAGGAGAAATTCTACAGACAACTGCCATCAACACCTGACAAGACCTCAGTTGGCGACATCAAAATTCTAATGGGTGGGGTGACATGAATGCCAAACTGGGAGCAGATAACACAGGAAGAGAACTAACCATGAACCGAGAAGCGCTAGGTGAAATGAACGAGGATGGAGAATTGTTTGCAGAATTCTGTGCATTCAACGATTTGGTGATTGGAGGCAGTGTGTTCAAGCACAAGGATATCCACAAAGCGACATGGATTTCACCAGACACCAAGACACACTAAAAATCAAATCGACTTTATCTCAATCTCAAGAAAATGGAGACGCAGTCTACTTGACACAATATCAAGAAGGGGAGCAGATGTACGTTCAGACCACTATCTAGTTCGAGAAACCTTCCAAATCAAGTTAAAAGCCTTCAAGGGAGTTGGTGATAGACCACAGTTCAAGTACAACACTCGGAAGCTGACGGACGAAACTACACGCAACACGCGGCTACCGACGACATTGGATAGGTAGATAAATATTTCAGTTTAAAGTTTGTGTGTTGTGGAGTAGAATAACGTATTGTCAATAAATTTTTTTTTTTTTGATAACCTTCGCACGCTTATTACTGCTAGTAGTATTTCCAGCCTTCGATCTTACTTATTTTGTAGGACGAGTTGTAATCTTAAAAACCGGTATATTTTTCAGTCGCCGCTACTTTTTTACTTTTCTGGTGGTTTTTAGCATGCTGCGTGAAGGTTGTAAGCCTATCTACTAATCTCGTGATGCCGTCCCAGACGTAAATATGGGCCTAACTAATAGTTCTAATAAGTCGGAGAGCCTTCAGTGTTTGTTTGACGAATCTGAAACAAGAATGAAAACAGTCAATGTTCAGTCCTGCAATCCACTTAGGTTCCTATCCCACTTCTTCCAATCAATGAACGGACCTTTTTTTGACAGAAGGGAAATTGCTTCTTGCTATAGTGTTAGCCTGCTAAACCACAATTTTGAAGAAGTTCGACAAGGTTTTATTCAAGTTCGGATGTATCATATCGTCTTTCGCTATTGGCACAACAACCGTACCGTCCGTCTGGTTTGGCCACTCGCTGGTCTGCGGTGGTACGGTAGTAACAAATCTATATTCGTTTTCCAGTCTGGGCGTCGTTGCAAGTTAGGTGAGTTTCTTTACCACCTCTAAAGTTTGTTAACCTGATGATGCCTACAGTTATTTAAAAATTCCGATAGTCAGTTAGGTTTCCAGCAACAACGAGAGTTGAGTATATCTCATATCCGCGTGTAGCAGAGACTGGCTGACTTTCATGTAAAGTTGGTGAAGATTTGCGGATCTTAGTGGTTTCATTCGAGGTAGTGAATGCACTAAAACTGATTGTCCAAGCACAGCGGAGGGTAGAAGCAATTCAAAGAGTCCAGTAATCTTGATCACTGGTTCTTGGTAAAATCTAAATCGGTGGGGAAGGCGACAGTGACATATGAAAGTGATCGTTTATTTAGAAAATGAATGGGACTTGCGGGGGTGTTAGACAATAACGGAATAACAGTATTCACTAGTGCACCTCCGCAAGTTGCTGTAATGATCAGGAAAACGATGCACAGTTCTAATTATCTTTCAACTTCTCAGTTGATTGCTACCTAACCACAGACGTAATGGGACATCGACACATGTAAGTTGAAAAGTTATAAGTAAGTGGAGGCGGAAAAGTTGGTAGATCTTGATGAATTAACAGGTATATCGACGTAGAACCTAGTTCAAAAGTGCATTAGTTCAAGCGGACTAATTTCATGGATACGCGCATCAAAAAATTGGATCGAAAAAGAGTGATAAGAAAGTAAGCAAAACCACATGAGATCGGAAGAAATAATCAACTGAACTTTGGTGATTGTTCACAATTCTTAAGGCTGCAGTGTACACACTAACACTACTGAGGCTGTTTTTGAGTCATGTATCGAAGAGGTCGTAGCGTCTGATGTCCATCATCTTGAGGAACTTAACTGTCAGTACGCTAATGCCTACGTAACTGAAACCTACAGCCAGACATTATAAGTGATGTTGCTTCATCTAGTCATCTGTATCGTTCAACTCGGTCCTTCTCAGTGATATTGATTGGCTGACTCAACCATCGTTTTTTCCTTGCTAATATGTTTGTGAAGCTAAGTAACTGTCAGTTGTTAAATTTGACCATAGCTTTTTCCATCTTCGTTACTTTCGCTGCTCGTGACTGCTGTAGTCATTACACGGAAATTCAGTCGGTTTTGATAAAGCAATTCGTACTAGTCTGTAGAGATCTACTGGCTTTTACCAACCTAAGTTTATAGGTTTCTCGTCTCATCGGCCACAATGGCGCAGATGTATTCGCCCCTTGACATCTAAAGCTTGAATATTAGCACTAACCTTTGTCGTCATTTTGCTTATTCTCTCACACTACTTCATCTCCTTTGACATCACTCTTTATCTATCCACCTGTCTTTTGTGTAAAGTGTGGCAGCTCGAGCCGATGCACCTACGTGCGAGGTTCTACATTGATTTTGTCAGTCAGTTATCAGTTTTTCTTTGTAGCTAGCCAAATAATATTTTGGGTTTCATCCGGATGTGGATTGCTTCTGTATTCAAGTGAATGTTTCACTATGAAGTGAGTTTGAACTAAGTAATTCAAGATAACCAAAGCTTTTTACTCAGATTGACCCAGCAAACCAAGAGATTGCGGAGAGTTATTGTCTGATTCAGGGATAATTAGTGGAATTCATCGGGAGTGTCTAATGTTACCTTTACTGTTATGAATATATTAAGTTCGCTCACCTGGAACATCTCATGGGTTAGTTTTCCAAGTGAAGGGCATCCGATCGACTTAAATTGCGTAGATAATACATTTCTTTTATGGGAAAATCAGTATCTTCTGATTGCCTTGAACAAAAAAGGCGTGCATTTAGCATGCATTTCATATCAGCTAGACACTCGGCTGCGTACTAGGTGTGCTACACAGCGATTCGCCCTGTCCCACTGAACAACTGTGACAGCCTTTAAAGCAGTAGACACAAAGAGGTCCTACTTTTCTGACGCATTGTGTATTTACAGCATAATAATAATATTATTATTTGTCCCTTGGGTTCCTAATGGAACATAGGGCTTCAGTAGCACGCCTCCAGTGACCTCTGTTCTCTGAGATCTTTTGAACCTGGTTC